ATGAGAGACACCCATAAGTTCTTTGACTGACGTCTTCGAGTTCCTAGTGACTCTCTTGTTTATGTCACCAATGACTTGCTCGGGTGGATGATCTTTCTGAACCCTTAATGGAGGATCACGCCTAGGTAACTCAGAACCTTTTTGGGTCGCACGGACAATGTAATCAGTTGATGCTTCAGCATTCTCGACAGAAAGTTCAACTATCTCCTTGTTTGTAGAGCTCTTAACACCCTGAGTATCCTGCAATGCCTCAACATCTTCAAACTGATTAAAGGATACAGAGGAACTGACTTGAGAATTTTTTTCATCAAAAATTACATTTATGGACTCAATCACAGTGGAGGTACTAGTGTTGTAAACACGATACACTTGACTATTGTTAGAGTAACCAAGAAAGAATCCAATATCCGATTTTGCATCTAACTTCCCAAGTTGGACACGATCATTATAGATAAAACATTTACACCCAAAAATATGCATGTGACTGAGGTTAGGACTCTTACCTTTCCAGAGTTCATATGAAGTCAGACCAATACCTCGACGAAGGTACACACGATTCACGAGGTAGCATGCTGCATTGATTGCCTCAGCCCACCATCTGGAAGAAATGTTTTTGGAGTTCAACATGACTCTGGCCATTTCTTGTAGAGTGCGATTCTTCCTTTCAACAACTCCATTTTGCTGAGGAGTTTTAGGAGCCGAGAACTCGTGTTTAATACCAAGAAAATCACAAAATTCAGCAAATTCAGAATTTTCAAATTCTCTTCCATGATCGCTTTGAATACTTATTATGGGGAAACCTTTCTCAGTTTGAACCTTCAAACAAAGTGACTTAAAAGCAGAGAATGTATCAGACTTTTCACGTAAAAAATCAACCCAAGTATATCGAGAGAAATCATCAATGCACACAAAAATGTACTTTTTACCTTGATAACTTTCTACCTGTACGGGACCCATGAGATCCATGTGAAGAAGTTCTAGGATTTGTTTAGAAGCAATATAGTTCAGTGTCTTGTGGGATGTCCTCGTTTTCTTACCTAGCCGACAAGGTTCACAAATTGGCTGGTCCTTCACAGCAATCTTTGGAACACTCCTGACGACACCTGCATTAGTCAATTTAACAAGGTGAGAGTATCCAATGTGCCCTAAGCGTTGATGCCATATTTCAGGTTCGCTCACATTTGAGAAATGGCATTTTTCATTAACATCAACAAGATAACAGTTATCCGTTGAACGATAACCTGTAAGTACACAAGAACCTTCACTGTCTTTCACATAACATTTGTCACATGAGAAACTGACACTGAGGCCTTGATCACAGAGTTGACTCACACTCAAAAGATTTGCCTTTAGCTTATCAACAAGTAACACATCAGTTAGTTTAGGTATTCCTACAAAATTTAAACAACCAGTTCCAATAACCTTATTGCTCACTCCGTCACCAAATGTGACTTCCCCATTTGAACTAGGTTCAATGTTCATCAAGTATGAAGGTTCACCAGTCATGTGTCTAGAGCAGCCGCTGTCCAGATACCATTTACCTTCCAGAGAAGTCATGAGGGACAGAACAGATGCAAAACAGTTGAAGAATTTCTTAGCAACCCATACTTGATACGTTTTGGTATGGTTATTTGGGAGAATCCTGGAATGGACCTTCACTGGAATGCCAGATTGATTCCAACTCCTAACTTTTCCTGTACAAAGGTCATGCTGCACTTTATAGCATTTAGGTCTTATGTGACCAGTTACACCACAGTAATGACAGATATGAACAAAGTTATGGTGAGTATTAATAACAGATTTCTGCTTGGGAGAATGTACCTTCAAGGGAGATTGTGGAGATGGAGGTTTATTTACAGTGCTTTTTACAAACCTGTCAAACACGTTTCTGGAAGGTCTCCCATGGAGGTTCAAGCCTCCAACTCAAGGTTTGTCACCAAATCCAAGATGAGTATGTTTTGCATTTGAAGCTCCAGTTGAGGACTCAGGAAAGTCTTCCCTACCAGTTTACCCTATTCCAGTGAGATCTCCATGTTGTCTTCCCAAAAAGAAGTTCATTCAGATCTGCTTTTCCCTTGTTCAGTTTTCGAACAACTTCTACAGTTCGGTTCAACTCAGCAGAGTTTGCCTTCAGTTTGCTTTCCATGCTAGCATGTTCGTTCATCATCCGATCAACTTCATTTTTCAGTAGAACAATTTCCTGGTTCCGCTCGGCAAGAAGTTTCTGAGTAGAGAATAGTTCATTCCTCAAGCATTCAATGGTCTGAGCCTTTTCCAGTCTGTCT